GCAGCCCAAAGCTGCCACGAAAGCAGAGTGTCCCCTCGAGCTCCGACCAATAGTCGAAGCTGAACAACGACGCGCCGCCGAAACAGCAGCAAATCTGGCCCTCTGCTCCGCCGCCATCTCTGGCGTCGAAGCCACCCTTCTCCCTTTGACTAACGGGTCAAATAGACCATTCGTAGACTCCATGAGAGTCTACTTACGCGCCGCCGTTGCGCAATACATGGCCACGGGCCCGGCCACTACGCCACCCATCCTCCCTCCTCGCCCGGCAAACCCTCCCCCAAGGGCTCCCGACGCCAGGAGCATACGAATTCCCACCGTCCCAATGCTGCCTGTAAAAATCACCTGGGCTACGGTGGCCAGAAACGAACTGCGACAGAAAGCAGTCCCAACTGTAAAGGCTGTGCCGCGACCTGCGGCCAAAGCCCTAAATAAAGAAGCTCCTAAGGCGAAAGTCGACAAACGACTGTTCCTTCGCCTAGAAAAGGAGCACCCGTGGCGCCAGCTTTCGCCTGCTTGCCTACGGAAACAACTACAGAGTGAGCTAAATTGCTTCTTGAGTGACGCCTGCTCCGTATACCGTGTTAGAACCGGCTTTGCGATTCTGACAGGGAATGAAAATAAAAGGGAAGAGCTCCTAGATGCCTCACCAAAGTTTTCGGACTTCAGCGCCAAGCTCGAGGAAGCCTCCAACCTTGTCGCCTTTCGGATCGCGAATGTTCCGGCGACCATAAAAACAATCGACTGTACTTATACGGTCAATGCGGATTGGATCTCATTGGAGATCTACCGAAATAAACAAAAGCTTCCATACAAGGTGCTACCGCACGGGACATGCCGTCCTGGAGCGCCGCACAGAAATTGGAAGGCCCTTTTCGACCGGAACAACGCCCCTCGTGCGGGCTTCCGCATTCTCGATGAGGCTGGTATGGCTACCATTCACAAGCCACGATCACAAATTGAATAGTGCAAACGCTGTTTGGGCTTCCACGCCACCCGTGGTTGCTCACGCGCTCCAGCCTGCTGGAACTGCGGATCTAACATGCACTCGGAAGTCGAGTGCAAGGCCCTCACAAAGTGTCGCAACTGTGGGGGACCCCACCGATCGGATTCTCGGGCCTGTCAGGTCAGACCCAAAAAATCTGGACCGGTGACCAAAGACCAGCTCGCGTGGATCCGCCACATAGAACAAGGGGAGTTCTCAAAGGTGGCACGAGCACGAGCAGCAGCTAAAAAGGCCGAAGAGGCGATCATCTCCGCTGCGAAGGACGTCTCAATGGCCGAGGCTACAGGTTTCGGAGCTCTAGAAGCTGAAGAAGAAGTTTGAGGACACAGCAACCTCGACGATGTCCCCATTGGGGCATCTACTAACTATTAGCAGGATACCGGCTGGATAAAAAGTGCCTGCTAACCCATCTTTTGCTCTCAGCGGAGAATGGGCAAATTTGTCATCTGGAAAGTGTGACAGATGAGGGAATGTGTGAGGAGCGCATTTACTGGGTCCCATATGGAGGAATCTTCTGGTATTCGGAGTTGTTTTGATTTTCTTGATTTTTCGTTTCTGTTTAATCAGCTGCACTTTTGGTAGCGATTCATGAGGTTGGAACGAGTTAGGCTGTAGGAAAAGTTACAGGGAACCCTTCCGGATCCGCCGGTACTTGAGCCAATGTGGATAAAGAGCTTTAGCTTAGGACCAAAAGTTAAAAATAAAAAAATAAAAATAAAAAAATAGACAATTCGAGAAATTCGAAAATTCCCTTTTTCCCATTTTCCATTCCTATGATCACTTCTGTGCTTGACTTCTCGAATTTTTTACCGTCGCGAGGTATTTAAAATTCCTCCGGTGAGAAAAAATCGCCCAAAGCCGACAATTTCAGCCGGCTTTGAACGGACACCATTGTGTCCAAAACCTACTGGCCTCGCGCAAAAATTATCAAGCCTATTTTCGAGTGAGGCCTTTGTCCCAGGGAAGTCCACAAATCTTCCTGATCAAGAGATGACTGATTCTGAACCGATCAGAGCAGAAAACAATGGTCCCAAGACCAAAACCCCCGTCGAGCTGGCTCCAGTGGCAAGCAGCTCCAGGAAAGGAAGGGAAGTTGTTCAAGAAAAGACAACCGAACTTGCAGAATCATCTGCAGGAAACAATGCTGTGTCAGCCTCTAAAGGCGCAGCATTGACATCAGCAATGGAGTTTCCACCAGAGCTGCAATCAGTGATGGAGGCCGAAAAGCGTCGCACGACGCAAATAAACGCCCGACTCGCAATCTGCGGTGTCGAAGCAGCACTTTCGCCTCTTTCGATTGGTGATAATAAAGAATTTGTAGACGGAATCAAAGTCTATCTTCGAGCGGCCATCGACCAGTTCGTACAATCTGGCCCAGGGAGCACACCACCAGTTCTCCCAGCTCGCCCCGCCAACCCTCTTCCGCCGAGGGCACCAGAAATAAGGGTTCCTAAACCTCCAACAACCCAGGCTCCGTCCCCAAAGATAACTTGGGCCACCGTAGCTCGGGTAGGCCTAGCCCGCAGCGCTGGGCAGTCGACAAAAAAGGCAGCACCGCCCGCCCCCAAAGCAAAGAGTGCCAACTCGAGGACAAAAGCCGATTCACGACTTTTTCTGCGCCTCGACTACTTTCACCCCCACCATCTCCTCTCCCAAGCTGGCATTAGATTAGCTGTATCTCTGGCGCTGGGAATCGCTGCTAATGATATTACGTTGGTTCAACGGGTAAAGACCGGCTTTGCTATTACAGCAAAGAACGAAGCTTCTCGAAAGGAGCTCTTGGATTCCTCTGCACTGCGGAGAGATCCAGAAACACACCTGGAACCAGCATCAAATCTGGTTGCCATGCAAATTGCCACCGTCCCGGAGACAATTCGAACTCTTGCTGGCCCAATCGCCGTGACGGCAAAGATGGTTGCCGACGAAGTCACGCGAGTGACCCAGTTGGTTCCCTTTCTGGTTCGTCCTCATGGGACTAGCAAACCAGGGGTGCCCTACTCAAATTGGCAAGCGCTCTTTCCCCGAGAATCCGCTCCTCGACCCGGATTCCACCTTTTCGACGACTCTGGAGCTGCAAAGCTCTTCCGACCTCGTCGCAAAATCGAACAATGCAAACGGTGTCTTGAATTTCACGCCACCCGTGGTTGTTCCCGCGCTCCAGCTTGCTGGAACTGCAGATCTAATATGCACTCAGAATCAGAGTGCAAGGCCCTCACCCGGTGTCGAAACTGTGGGGGACCTCACCGATCGGATTCCCGGGCCTGCTTAGCCAGACCCAGCAAGTCTGGACCGGTGACAAAAGGGCAGCTCGCGCGGATCCGCCAGATCCAGCAAGGGGAGTTCGCGAAAGTGGCTCGATTTAGGGCTGCAGCCAAAAGGGCCGAAGAGGCAACGATGGCCTCAACGAAGGATGTCTCGATGGCCGAGGGATCGGGTTTCGGTATCCTGGGATCCGAAGAAGAAGTTTGAGGGTACAGCAACCCTCGGTGAAGTCTACAGAAAGCTTCAAAATATATGGCAGGATGCCGGCTGAATTCAGGTTATCTGCGAACTAATCTTTTGCTCTCAGCGGAGATAAGAAAAAGTCACGTGGAAGATGGGGCAGGAAAGGGAACGGGCGAGAAGCGCAGGATCCGGACCAATCAGTATCTCTTCCAAATTTGATTTCTGTTTTTGATTTTAGTTTTGCTGTGAACTTCTACAATTTCAGTAGAAGTTCATGCGGTTGAAATGAGTTGGGCCTGTACGCAGTGATCCTTGCCGGCTCCACCGGTCATTGACCCAATGTTGAAAAGATAGAGTTAGCTTAGGACCAAAAGTAAATAAAAAAAAACGAGCAATACCGAGGCTGAAATTAAACCTTCCTCGAAGGATACGATGATATCGGGAGGACTTGGCTTTATGGCCTTGAATCCCGAAGATTAGGCATGAAATTCTACGAGTGCGTGGAAGAAATAAGTAATGGCCGCTCATAAACTTTGAAGAAGGACCGACAATGGTGCAGGAAACCCGTCAACTCATCTGCTGCTCTAGGCTGAGATTGAGCAAGATCATCATTTGCAAGCTGTGACCGAGAAAGGAATGCGCTAGAAGCGAATTGCAGGCGTCCGATTTGAGAAATCTTCTCTCTTTCGGAAATATTTCTGTTTTTCTGTTTTTCTTGTTTTCATACTTTCATGTCTATGTAAATCAACTACAATTTTGGTGCCGATTCACGGGGCTGAAATGAGTTGAGTCCGTTTGCAGTGATCCTCACTTGTTTCCTCCGGCCCCGTGCCCTTATGGTCATTGGGCATTAACTTTTGATTATAGAAGTATTACAAAAAACTTCGCAATGACCGGAGACAATCCATCTGTCATTCAGTTGTCACACTACAATCGATCTATTGTTCTACTGTATAACAATTTTAATACGGCCAATTCGAACGCTTCAGAAGGATCAATGTGTCTTCGGATTTAGTCCTAATGTCGGTATTAGGAGAGCTCTGTACTCATTGGTTTTTGCGATTTTTTTCGGCTGCCATCCACCCGCAGACGGCCATCGTTTCGTTGGCTGGAAAGGGGAGATAATGAAGTGCAAAGGGCTCCTCTTAGTGTATGATCGAATGAGGACTTGTGAGGGGTAGTACAGTTTGAGGGGAGCTGTATGGGAGGCATAGGAGGGGATATACTACTGGTATAGGTAGCCTTGGCCTGTAGGCAGAGAGGACCTGCATTTCCTACATAGTCATAGACTCAGATAGGACAATAAAATGAATTAATAATAATAATAACGCATATACTCAGTTACAATTTTCCATAAATATTATTAAATTTTCCGCGCATCTCTGCTTGGCATTTAGACCTCTAGTTCATAGTCAATATTCTCAACTCTATAAGTTGGGCTCGCGTGCTCAAATACCAGCACGAAATTTCATCTTTTCTTCGGGAATATTTCTGCTATTAACACTACATAAATCTTACAAGTGTGCGAGATATCTAGCGGCAGGCTATCAATATGGTCTACATCTACGCCTTGCTCTTGATACCACCCTCCTTATCTAACATTCCTGGTCGCATTGCCTTCAGCAGCACACATTCGATAAGTAATTTCCGGAGTGCAACTCACAATGATGTCTATAAACTTTCCGATCCCGAATTCCCGAAACCTGAAGACGACTCTGGTATTTTTATGACTATGGATGACTCACTTTCTCCAGGAACTCATCACGCAGTCTATAGTGCTCCATATATGCCATACACTGATATGATGGCCAGAATTATGGGCGGAGCATCACCCTTGACAGATGAACAAGTCATTAATCTTGACAAAGATGCTATTGCAGTTCAAGAATGCCACCAATATCTTCAAAGTAAAGCCCAGGAAGTTGATACCGTGATGCCACTAAGTTTTTTGAATGTGGTGAAGTCAAACAAATGTACCGCAAGATCAGTCGCAACGCTAGCCTTTGAAGAAAAGGTAAAAGTAGAAGGAAAATATAGCTACTTTGCATCAAATTCGTCCCCCTCATCTTTGGCTATAAATGTCGATTACCATGTACCAGTAGAAGAACTAGTATTACCAGGACAATCAACAATTTACAAAGGGTCTCGTACGCCGCGAGCATTTGTGTGGTATCTAGGCAGACCTCATCTACTCATTGGATGCAGTGGAAATAAGCGTGCATGGTTCATAGCGACTACACTCAAGGGAAGAGAGGAAGATAGAGTATTAGATGGAGCTATATTGTTAGTTAATAACAGGTACGGGAAGAGAGAAAGTCTTGTGAAAAAAAGCATGCTAGGCGTAGAGCTGGACCTGAAGAAAAGTCGGAAAATCAACCCAGATGCAGATCCTTCCACTGATGGAAGAGTCTCTATAGTAAGATTATCGAATCCAGGAGAGGAAATGCCTGGCGTTCTTACCCACTGGCATGAATGCAGTTTGTACAAGAGTTCATCTCCCAAACTCTTCAACTGGAGTGCACGATCTTAGCTTTTGTTAGCGTAGCCACTTAACTTCTAACTTCTGTACTCGTATTCATAGAAAGAATATGACGCGGATAGATAGAAAACAATATCTTGAATTCGTTAGTTTCATCCACAGCCTGGCCCGTGTTAGTTGACTTCCATACCGGTGAGGTCAACTCAGCATGGTGATAATAATTAAAATTATGATGTGTCAGACTAAGCATCCATGTACTAAAAGTATAACCCACTACTTAGTTTGTGGACTAGTTGGTAGAGGGAAGCTTATGCAGTCATGAAGGATAAAAGGATGTCTATTCGAGTACTCTTCTAAAAACAGGTACCAGACTCCCTTTAATCCTAATTGATAGGCCGTGCGGGATCTCCTATTAACAGCAGTAAACAAAGCCAGCATATGGTATACGCAGTCTTAGTTCGCCAAACACCAGTCAATTGGGCCTACTAATTGTCGAGCCTAGTAGGATCGACAAAGTGTATCCCAACACAGAAACAACATTTTCTCTATACTCCATAATTTCAACATACCGGTAGTATATCCCCTCCTATGCCTCCCATACAGCCCCCCTCAAACAGTACCGCCATTCACAAGTCCTCATTCGATCATACACTAAAAGGAGCCCTTTGCCCTTCATTATCTCCCCTTTCCAGCCAACGAAACGATGGCCATTTGCGGGTGAATGGCAGCCGAAAAAAATCGCAAAGACCACTGGGTGCAGAGCTCTCCTAATACCGACATTAGGACTAAATCCGAAGACATAATGATCCTTCTGAAGCGTTCAAAGAGGCCGGCCAGCTAGGCGCTGCAACCGCTGCTATGTATACATGTGGAATGACTCTTTTGACTTTAGAGATACTCATACTCTGGGTTTCATTCACAAATACTACTGTGAGGTATGTTCGCTTACACAAATAGTCGACCTTCCTCCGTGAGTACCCACCAAAGGGATATTTCAAAACCTTTGGTTATCCAAGCATGCGTTCGACATCCATGTTAACTGTTACGGGGCGAGAGAGTATACAAGATACGTAAGATGGAACGTAGACAACATAGGATGCGGATAGGGTATGGAAATCTAACAAAACGTTGCGCGCCCTCTAAAGACGTGAACGAGGACTACTTAAAGGTCACCTCGGACTAGCTCGGCGCTAGTGTCAATAATAACACCAGTCCTCTCCATTCCTGTGAGGTTATAAGTTCCTAGGATGGTACGGTGGTAAAATGTGGCTGTACGAAAATCGTTGGTCCACAGTGTCTCTAGATTTCTGCTATATCTTCTATGTAGCGAAATCTTAAGACGGTGTATGACTGTCTTCTAAAATTACAGGATATGTCTAGTATATACAGATTGTAGCTTAGTTCGCATTATGCATAAAGACTGGGGTAAAAATGGCAATTATAATACAATGTTTATGATCAGGGAGGGCGAAGGCTGAACACCTGTTAGTGGTGCCCTCTACGAACCTGGGAGTGGAAATTTCTCCCAGAGTCGAGATTCTGTCACGAAAAAGGGTGGGATGAATTTCAATTGATGGATTTTCGACATGAAGGAGTTGCAATCGATATTTTGGTCGAAAAATCAGTCAGCAGAGATTTCACAGCTGGAACAAAGTTGAACAAAAACTCACCACTACCATCATACGATTCACGAATGGATTTAGGTCTGTCTGGAGGTCGTATTCAAACATCCGACATCTCTCAAACTCCTTTTATATTTGTGACGAAGCATTTCTCAGTCGATCCTATACCTGCGACCCACTTCCATACTCGTCCCATCACCTACCTACACACGCCCTAAGGAGGAAAGCCATGATAGAAACGGGACGTGTACAAAGGAGGAAGAAAAGGGAAGATACACCGAGGGGATTAAACAAATCCCCAATGACGACAACAACCCGACGGTACGATATGAAGGTGCAAGGCTGGAGCAACGATGAGATCTTGGACGGCATTTATAATTCGGAGTCAATAAGGATGTCAAGGGCTCGGGCGCGTGGTGGCCAAGGCTGAAGAGGAAATTGCGCTACGGCGTGTATACAGCGGGTTTCTGGACGGTTAGGCTTGGTATGATTCAACACATAGGTGAAGTCTGAGGTGGTCCGGTCATTAAAGTGGGACGGGGTTTATCTGTACTTTACGGTAGTTAACCTGATCCGGCCCAACCCCACACGTGCTTAAGCTCCAGTAGGAGTGCGACGGTATTTACTTCACCTAGCACGTTAATGAACAAAAATAAAGTTTTTATTCAGGGGTCCTCGACTGCTTGGACATGCTTTCAGCCTCTATGGAGGGTCATGATTAGAATCATGACATTAACCAGCGCCGCGAGATACGTAGATTTATGTTGCAGGAATTTAACCAGCGATCTCCTGTCTCGAGTGGGATACGTATCCGAACTATCCAGACTCTACACGACAGACAGGCCGAGAAGATGTACCACCGCACCATCCAACCATGGCGGCGTTGATAGTGTTGCCTGCACTCACATCTGCTAACATTCTTTACTGCTGTTAATAAGAGATCCCGCACGGGCTATGTATTAGGATGAAAAGGAATCTTAGTGAGTGTGTGTGTATATATCTATTGTCCTATGATGTCTATGGCTATGCAAGGACATGTAGGTCCTTCCTGCCTACAGGCCGGGAGTATCTTAAAAGGAGTCTGGTACCTGTTTTTAGAAGAGTACTCGAATAGACATCCTTTTATCCTTCATGACTGCATAAGCTTCCCTCTACCAACTAGTCCACAAACTAAGTAGTGGGTTATACTTTTAGTACATGGATGCTTAGTCTGACACATCATAATTTTAATTATTATCACCATGCTAAGTTGACCTCACCGGTATGGAAGTCAACTAACACGGGCCAGGCTGTGGATGAAACTAACGAATTCAAGATATTGTTTTCTATCTATCCGCGTCATATTCTTTCCATGAATACGACTACAGCAGTTGGAAGTTCAATAGCAACACTAACAAAAGCTAAGATCGTGCACTCCAGTTGAAGAGTTTGGGTGATGAACTCTTGTACAAACTGCATTCATGCCAGTCGATAAGAACGCCAGGTATTTTCTCTCCTGGATTCGATAATCTTACTATAGAGACTCTTCCATCAGTGGAAGGATCTGCATCTGGGTTGATTTTCCGACTTTTCTTCAGGTCCAGCTCTACGCCTAGCATGCTTTTTTTCACAAGACTTTCTCTCTTCCCGTACCTGTTATTAACTAACAATATAGCTCCATCTAATACTCTATCTTCCTCTCTTCCCTTGAGTGTAGTCGCTATGAACCATGCACGCTTATTTCCACTGCATCCAATGAGTAGATGAGGTCTGCCTAGATACCACACAAATGCTCGCGGCGTACGAGACCCTTTGTAAATTGTTGATTGTCCTGGTAATACTAGTTCTTCTACTGGTACATGGTAATCGACATTTATAGCCAAAGATGAGGGGGACGAATTTGATGCAAAGTAGCTATATTTTCCTTCTACTTTTACCTTTTCTTCAAAGGCTAGCGTTGCAATTGATCTTGCGGTACATTTTTTTGACTTCACCACATTCAAAAAACTTAGTGGCATCACTGTATAAACTTCCTGGGCTTTATTCTGAAGATATTGGTGGCATTCTTGAACTGCAATAGCATCTTTGTCAAGATTAATGACTTGTTCATCTGTCAAGGGTGATGCTCCGCCCATAATTCTGGCCATCATATCAGCGTATGGCATATATGGAGCACTATAGACTGCGTGATGAGTTCCTGGAGAACGTGAGTCATCCATAGTCATAAAAATACCAGAGTCGTCTTCAGGTTTCGGGAATTCGGGATCGGAAAGTTTATAGACATCATTGTGAGTTGCACTCCGGAAATTACTTATCGAATGTGTGCTGCTGAAGGCAATGCGACCAGGAATGTTAGATAAGGAGGGTGGTATCAAGAGCAAGGCGTAGATGTAGACCATATTGATAGCCTGCCGCTAGATATCTCGCACACTTGTAAGATTTATGTAGTGTTAATAGCAGAAATATTCCCGAAGAAAAGATGAAATTTCGTGCTGGTATTTGAGCACGCGATCCCAAGTTTTAGTGTTGAGAATATTGACTTTGAACCAGTGGTCTAAAGGCCAAGCAGAGATGCGTGGAGAAGGTAATAATGTGTATGTAAGATGGTAACTGAGTATATGCGTTACGAAATTACATTGTGACTTAATAAATTGTTAAGATCCTTGTGGGGAAATTAATGTTGTCCAAATGAACAGATATGCAATCTTGAGTAAAGAATCATGAGACTGACTCAATCATAAGCCATTTGCCGAGTACTTTCGACTGTCATTTTAAGAGTAGTTGAGAATTGAACGAGGAGCTATGCCTCCATTATTCAAATCATTCCCTCCAAATTTATACCAGTTAGTATTATTAATAATTCAATTTATTGTCATGTCTGAGTCTTCGACTATGTAGGACATGCACGTCTCCTATATGGAGGGCAATACTGAATACCTGTACGTGGTGTCCTCTACGAACTTGGTAGTGAAATATTCTCCCAGATCCAGGTTCAGTCAAACTTCGCAATATCGAACAAGTCGGCCCACGAGGCAATGATTCAAAATACTTAACCACGTCATTTTTCACTCCCAAAGAGATCGAATCCTACCTAAGCCTCATCAAGTCTACAAGTACGACCTTGTACATTCTCATTCCAATGATCACACCTCTTGTCGACTTTCTCTGGCTTCAACTGGTCGTAAAATACACGCCCACGCCGATATGTACACTCGACAGAGGAAGCAAAGCGTGGCGCACAAATCTGGGAGACATTTCTTTGGGATGGTCGTGAGATTGATCAGGACAAGTTGACAAAATGGCACAAAGGAAGGATAAAACCTCGAATGACATGAAATTCTGAATATTGGCAAGGAGTTTTATGAATTGAGCATTTTGCTTACGAAGACTTCGGTTGCGAGAGTGCAGGCGACATTTTAAAAACCGCCATTGTTGGATGGTAGGGTGATGCATCGTCTCGGTCGGTCTTCCAAGTAGAGTCTGGATAGCTTGGACACTTATTCGACTTGAGTCAAAGCCCGATGATTCGAATCCGATCAGACTCAGACTCAGTCCTCCCACTCTCAATGATCGTATGCATTTATGAAGAAGACATGTTTGTTTAATGAAAGGATTTGAAACTTACTTTTAACGGGTACGTATGGACTAGACTCGACTCTCTCGTGTCAAATAACTACTTGATAGCGATATTTGCACATGGAATCTAGAGTGTGATTTACAATAGACTAAAAGTACGCCCAATGTTTACACAAAGTAATTGTCATATGCTATAGCCAGTTAGCTTTGTTAATTATAAAGATTAAATTAATTGAGCCAATAATTTAGTGATGTCACTGTTGGATATGTGCTCAATAGAATGTTGAGTGGAAGTTTGTCAGTGGTCTATTAACAAAAAATAGACGGAGAAGCTATGATAAAGTAATGAGGCGGACGTGGTTTTCAAAGTAAATAGAGCCAGTTAGAATTAGAAAGGGCCAGAAGTTAGATAGACTGTGTAATTCTCTCATCGACTTTGACAGTGATAGTAATCCTTTGACTTAGGATGGGACATAAACAGCGAGGACATATGTAAATTAGTTTTATACCAAGGAGTAAATTTTGCCGAAAATTGACTAGTGGCAGTTTTTAGGTATGTGTATAAACATACAGGGCTTTAAATTAAGTCACCTAGGAACCGTGTAATATGACCTCCCTCACCCAAGAAAAAACCTGCCATAACTAGTTATTAAAAATAGATTCCAGACTCAAACGATGTCCATGATAATCAGAATCACTGTGATGGAAGTCCTTTCCAAAATTAGTGCGAACTGGAATCCTACGGGCCGGTAGGAGCTTGACTAAGCCGCTGATCTTAGTAAAATAAGTTACTTTTCAGTTTGCATGAAAATACTCTGATCCCGAGGTTTTCTCACTAATCCTCAATATCATAGAGTTGTTTACTGAGTATTTTATTCATAGTGAACATGTGGACACGTTCTTGCTTAAAAACTAGTTGCATTGAATCATCACAAATGATCTGACGTTTATCTGTTGGATCTTGAAGGCCTTGCGCCTTTATGTACGCCCAGATATTTTTGACAACCTGCGGTCTAGAGAGCTGCGACTTTATTAGTAATCTTATTTAAACTTGATGATAGGATGGCTAACTATTTGAGTGCCGAGAAGTTGAGCCAGAGGTGCGCTGAGATTATATTGCTTGTGGAAACCATTATTTTTCTTGCCTTCTGTGTCCTTTATTTCACTGTTGACACCAGTCTCATCGATATCGCTATCTTCGTTTACCTTGATCTTCCCTTTACTCTTTTTTAATTTCGACTTTTTTCCATTCGTCTTCGATCTTCGCTGGTGACTAGATGTACCTCTCGTAGTGCGTGCGTTACGATTCTCTTGTGCTTGTAGCATTTTGGCTAGTTTTTCATCATCTATTTCTTTTGAGTCAGGTTTCTCTTCTTTCTTCTTTTGTCTTTTCTTAGCCGTGAAAGTATCTTTCGCATCAGGCGAGAGCTCATCATCGATTTCGCGCTTTACGGGCCTCTCTTGAGCTGCGCGTAGTGCAGAGATTCCGTGTATATGACTTGCAGTTGGGATCGGGGATTCAGTTTTGATAAGACTATGGTCTTTGGAACTTGTAGCAATATCAAATCGTTCCATTATTAAAGCTTGAATCGCGTCCTACGATGGTTTTATAAATATTCCATCATGTTTCGTAAGCTTCTGAAGAATAATTCACCTTCTGATAACTTAAATCTTTCCCAACTCTAAGCATCAATGCTTTTCTAACTTGCTTTGCTGTGATTGTCTCCAAATCTGAATCGGCAAACATTGTATCGATAAGCGCGGTGTATCGTTCCGACTCATCTGCGGTGATTTGTGCTGGCTACATTAGTTCATTCCGGTAAGATTCTGTTGGGACTAAGTTTACAAGACATTCTCTAGGATTTGTTCCAGTAGCAATGTTGTCATGAATATTAAACGAAATTTATCGCCACTGCGTGGTTGTAACTTATAGATCGATCCCCAGAATTATAGACTATGTTTTGGAATAATCTACAGGTTTGACTTGTAGAAATTTGGCTGCGTAAATTTTCAAAGTATAAAAATGTCTCTTGGTTGCGCACGATATTCAAGTTGCTATACAGGAAATTTACTGGAAGCTTAATTAACGTCAATGTTGCCAGCTAGCTAGCAGTCCTTAATCCTTGGAATATCCAGATTAACCAAGCGATAGGAACAAGTTAAGTGTGTAGAAATTTAATTTAATAAGTTATTTGTCCCTAGTTGTGAGACGAAGGAGATTCTAGAGCCCGTACTTTTCTCTGGAAGCTGGCTAATGTAGTGCTGACAAAAAATTTGAGAAGATTCAAATCAAAAATTTCCGTTGAGACGCCAAGCAAGAGAAATCTGGTGTAAGTAATTTTATCAACATCGGCAGACAAATTATATTTAATCATGGTGCTAGTATGCTGTAGAAAGTAAATGCGTGAGAGTTGCGACCTCCTCTACCCCAGCAACCTAGCCCGGCCGGCGGGGCTAGAATGCTCCTGGAATACCGTTTTCGTAATTACGCAAAAGCACGCTGAAGGTCAATGGAGCTCCACTTCTGTCTCACCCGACTTTGATGTTTTGACAGTCATCAAAATTCATGCCCTACCATTTCAGGGAAAACATAGGTGAGGCTTCATTGGAGAAATCCATTTTGAATCTAAATTTTTCATCTACCCCAACAATCCTATATTTGTTTGTCTTATTATTTAACGTTCATTGGAACGCCGAGCCGAAGCCCGGACCCGCAGTGCCTACTAAACTATCTAGAGGGATGGACGCCAGCGCTTACTGCCCTGGTGCCTTGGTTCCTGCTACTCCCTGACTCGGGATGCTGGACTCTATATATCTGAGATTACGACAGTGTTAGGCAGAACTCACACACCGTATGTAGCACACTTTATAGACTTACCATCTATTACATTTTCGGGCCTAGGATTCCTGGGCCCTAGCTATTTCTACGTCTTGCATTGCAAAGATTTCTAGTTCGCGTCTCCAAATCTAGGCCAGCCAACATTACTATTTGATCAAAGAATGATTTTTAATTGCTCCGCGAGCAATAAAATTCTACATGTGAGAATTATTACACATCGCTAATTATTTTCAAAAAGTGTGAGCCAAGGGTCCAAACCCGACGAGTAAGATTAACATTCGCATATTTCATTCCTATCAAGCCTTTGACCAAGATAGGTTTTGTTGAAGCCATTATTACAGCGAACAAGATCTAAGAATCCGATACAAACTTTATATGCCTGTGATAGATTTCAGTTCTTTGCTCTGGCATAATAACCATAAAAACACTCCAGACTGTAGTATCCAACGTTAAAAGTTCTCATGGTGTAGGTAGTTGAGGATAATTTGAACTTAGAGATACATATTAAGGAATAGATACACTTGTTCCCTACTATTGGCCTTGAGAATTTCGGGGTTTAGTTTTGTATCAGATTCAAATTTCATGTGCAGCTAGCTAGCTGTGACACAATATTGGAGAAAAAGTACAAAAAATATGACCCAATAAGATAGAAGAGCACTCATGCCTCGGGTTTTATTTGCAAGTATCACTGCGAGGTTATGGCGGCTTTTTCTTCACTCCAAGTCACCCTTCATCTGTGATTACTCACCCAGGGAAACGTCTCATAAACCCTGGGTTATCCAGTTATGCCTCTATCATTCACTGAATTTTTTCCGCGCGAAATGTGGTCTGAAGCGTCTCCTTCTCAAGTGTAGTAGGTGCCCAGGCTACTCAAAGTATACTGGAGACAACCACATGAAATGGGGTCTCTGCAAAATGTGCATGTTGGATGATCTTTTAGACTTATAGAAATTCATATTTGGGTTTCATTACGGAAATACGAAGTTCATTTGATTGTTTATAATTTTGCGTCGTGCCAGCGCGCAACACGTTTCCCAAGTTCACATGCCGGTTAGCTCAATCTAGAAATAGTACCCGACGTGTCGACGCTTTTAAGATCCCGGCATATGCTAACCGGGCTCCGGCCGTTCTGCCATGTGCACCAAACTTTAAATACACAGAAAGCACCCTTGCTCTGGGCCTTCTGTTAACTATACTGCAAACAGAATGAAAATGTAGATCTACATGCTGGAGAGGAGAAACAATCTGCCACCGGTACAGACAGAGCTACTACTAAGTGATTGAGTCCCGCTAAATAGGCAGTACGGAGCAAGAATGGGTCTCTTCGAAAAACCTAGTCTTACAGTAAGTTCATTTAGCTTGTGAAATCAGTTGTGCATTATGTGGGGGTCACATGATGACCTCGGCACGGATGCGCTAGCCAGGATTCAAACTGTAGCTGTGACTCCAAACTATGAACACTTGGCCTGTATTTGCTAGAGCTCAGATTAAAAGACTTTTGGTCAAGGTGATGGATAACTTTCCTTTTCATATATATATATAACTATCTTCTCTACTGTATTAGAATACAAAAGTCTCAGCTGGAGAGTGCTTTTGACTTTTTTCGATAGCTCGGGGTACATGGTAGGTAGGCCTTGGCCCATTTATAACATTTCGGGCTTATTTAAAAGTATCGGCACGTCGGGTAGTTTATGTAGACTGAGCTGATAAACACGAGACCTTATGGTTTTGTTGTGAGCTAGCACGACGTTCAATAATAATAAAATAAAAATAAAACTATAGCTGTGAAGGCTGTTCAGTCATCCATGAACACGAATAGAAGAACCAACTCACAGAGTACCATCACTCTTTTCCTAACCGAACCGTTCAATGGTGAATTAATCCCTTTGCCATTCCAATAGAAGTACTATCATGAGATATGTTCTTGTACTTTGAACATTCGACCCTTCTCCGCCAGTACTCACCAAAATAAAAGGATAAGAATCTTTGTCACCCTTGCATGCCAGGACCGCGAGAATTTTTGTGTAGCGATACTAAATTTGAACCAGTAATTTACTGTTTCAAGTGGGATGGATGTGTAAGCTAATCAGAATCTAGTAGAAAGAGCGGTCCGTATAATATGTCAACTCACTATCCAGCTATGGCCATTCGAAAGTATCGTCTGTAATCTCGCCTACAAATTCGAATTTGATTTGATACCTTTAAGGTGCCAGGAAATCCCTTCAACTATTTGGCGTGACACAAATAATGGAATCTCTAGGCTCAAGATCTACTTACTGGACCGGCCTGTGAGGGCCAGAAGAAATAGAAGAGAAAAAACTACACAAAAAATTATGGGTCACTGTGCCCTGCTCCGTGATCATCTTCCCTGATACACCTAAAACACATATAACGCAGCTTCGCAGTAAAAACAGTCTTGGTGTTAATTTCTTATCCCCATTTTATTCTTTGCCTTACTAAAATATTTTGTTAATATCAGGTATTGCCAGGAGTATTCCTAGATTCTTTCTCACAACATTCATCTTGTATTTGGTGCCGTATTCTGCCCAGAGTTCCTCCACATATGTAGCCTGGGTCGACACTGTACATAGTGCCATGGCAATTTCTTACGTCCACATGCACAATTAAGCTCCTCGTTCTCGTGACCTAATCGACGGTGGAATTCGGCAAGGTCTCCGTGGCCTGTTCTGACTGCTATAAGTTTATGGCAAGCCCATCTTGGTAGAGCGAGCTTTGGTGGCCTTTTTCGTCTCTAAAGTAGAGTAAAGTCTTCGTATCTCTTTGGTCGATGCTTTAGCTACTAATTGTCCAACTTCTCCTGTACTGGTAAATTTATGTAGTGATTGAGGGTTGTACACGTCAGCTTCTGTACTCCAAAATCATTCACCATATTTGTAAACTGGGCCTCAAGGTTGGAGATAGACTAAGATAAGGCTAAACTGGCCAGAACTTCTGCCTTTTCAATGCCGGTAATTCCAATACGGCCTTGGATCCATTGAATTTCAACATCCTGATGTCTCTGGCAAAGGCCTCACCCGCTTCTTGTGAAATGTTCAAAATACCTATTCTGAAAGCTTGCACCGGTGCCTAATTGTCTTGCAGTACCATAATTAGACTGTCCCTAGCCAGCTCTATTTATATCTCCAGGTCCTGGAATGCACCAATCACTTCTACGTCGTATACTTCAGCACCTTGTAGAGGGCTAGAATCGCCTGCAATCAATGGACTAAGTCTTGCTAACGAAGCTGTAGGGCACATAATGTTATTTATTTTGCTGAGTTGCTGTACAAATTTCAAAATCTGAACCCTTTCAAGGTGGTACTCATCATTTGCATTATCTTGTACAATTGTCCTGGTCTCTATTAATTCCACGGGTAAACACTGAGATGAATGGCTATTCATCACAGGCTATGTATTAATGATCTTATAACTAACAAAAGAGGCAAGGAACACTGTACAAAGTGTGACCTGGACCAGAGAGGAGCCTAATGTGCTAGATAGTCTAAGATTCAAGTAGTACAATAAACATACCTCTCTCTTTCCTAATCTTTTTTCCTTACATTCAATAGAACCTAATTCGCCATGTCTGCGCGACAGAACTTGTGTCTCCCTGCAGGTATACATATTATCATGGGCATTATTGTGGAGGCTATTTGAGGCCAGAGAACGATTCTGTAAGAGGTGTGGTCATTGAAATGAGGATGCAATAGGTCGTACTTTTAGACTTGATGTGGTTCTGGTGGGGATTGATTTCGTTGGAAGAGAGAGTTTGATTTCGTATAGTGCATTGAATAATTGCCTTGTGGGCCAACTTCCTTGGTATTGCGAAATTTAACTAAAGTCGGCTCTAGAGGAATATTTCACCCACAAGTGTGTTGGGAACGCCACTGACAGGTATACAATTTTTATCTTCCGGTATTAAATTTAGCAATGCGGGTGTTACAATTAATGGAGTTCTACTAATGTGACGCACAGCTTTTAGTGCGTGTTCGGGCTAATTAGGGGAATAAAGATCTTCCGGGCTCTTTCATAATCCCATATCGATATCAGGTTCCCAACAAAGTTCATTTGAATCACAGGGGTGATTTCTCGGAGACTTTCGTCCATTAAACTCGATCGCTATGATGTGTGAAATCTCTCGTCCGCACATCGTCCGTTTCAGTTTTGATGGAATTTTAATTGATATACCGACTATCAGTCCCCTAACACCGCATGACTTTGGATCAGCTTCTACCTATTATTAGGGGGCTTCTTGGGAACCCCGCCCCATCCACAAAGGATCAGTCTCTAAAGAAGTGAAGTTTGCTTGGTCAACAGATCGTCCTAGAATTATGGAACAGGTACTCGTATCGTCTTTGCAGAGATGCTGCCGAAGAACCTCAAAATAAGGCTCTTCGTTTTATCTAAGACTACTCCTAAAATGTCTTTCAAACTTGGAATTTCGTTGTAAATATCTATCCAAGAGACCTGATCATGCAATTCTGAACCTAAACATATATGTTGAGGTGCAATTTATCTTATGCTTCAATTCCTGCGAGTACAATCCCGAAATTGCGTTGAAAGAGGACTTAACTGCGATTGATATGATGCGAGTGAAAGCGCAATCTAAACACTTCATCGATTACCCTTTAATTCTAATCCACGGATATTATCTTCACGCGGCGGAAAGAAGATCTAGATAAACCGCCCCTGAGCATAACACAGCTGGGCTAAGGATAGGATGACGCGAAAGGACATATGTAAGTTCAACCTATGTGATCACTAGATTGTCCACTTCAAAATTAGGGCCATCGCTGCGCTGACATCATATTCAGTGTTTATCGGGTAGATATTGATTTATTACATCCGCAGATATGGAATTTTCTTGCATCAAATCTGCCATGCTAGGAATATTCATGCTCAAAAAACTAGCTCAGACCATCTCTTAATCCCTTATGCTTACCATAGGCTTTCAATAAATCCATGCAGGGGCAACCTGATGCGCATGTGGAGCTGGAAGGAGCAGAATAGGGATGTTAAGGAGTTTAGTATCAGCACGGACCAGGAACAGGAGGAGGTCCCGACTGAATGTCACATGAAATTTCCATCTCCGGTCCATTTAATCCTATAAATCTCCAGAACTCGGCGACTACAACTATGATAAACACATATTCCAGGGGTACAGTTTGAGTATTGACTGCGAGAATGTCAAAAACAAATATTTCTTCCAATCCTTTTCGCCAACAAGACTCTACAACAGTGATTAAACCACTAGTTGTAGCTGACGATCTTACACATAGCTGCAAATTTAGCTCACATGCAGAGTTCCAATCAGCAAAAGCTCCTTCAGGTATCGACGGCCATTTGGAAAATGCAACAAAAGCTTCAAAAGGCTCATTACGTTCGCAGTCTCCGAAAATAAATTTTACCATTGAAGAACCAGGAAATAAAACTCCTGAAAAGACCAACATTTCGTCATCGCAGACAAATAACCTCAACATTCAATGCTCTAGAACTGGTGTACCAGGGTTCGAAGTTGATGATCTTGAAATAGTACCGAAAATTTTAAAAAATTCTTTTGCTAACCAGACTGATTTAACATCACATCAAGAAGATATACCGCAATATCTAGCTCAGGAGAATGCTTTTGGCCTAGAAGGTTTACCTTTAGATGTAGATGGGTTCAAACGGCTGCTTTTGACTGGAGATTCAAGTTTGAGATCAACCCCACACAACCCCTTTGTTCGATCTCAAGATGTCGATCATCAGTTTGAAAATGAAACCATTCTATCGAATAAGTCATCTGAATGTCAGCAGCTTGTTCCCACAAATCCCATAAAAAATATATATCGTGAATTAGAAAAATCAGAAAGTAATTCAGAGACGGAAAAACATCAAACAGACTTTGACCTGGGAATACGACCTCCCATAGAGAACCTGACTCCATCAAAATCTCGTTATCCAAAGTTAATTAAAGTGGAATTAAAAGATGACATATCATTAAATACTTCTCAATATCCATCCTCAATAGCCTCGAATCACTCTTTCCCTAGGCCGATGACGCCTACAAATTCTCATTTAACCCCCTGTCAAAGAAGTACCGTCAAACTAAATCTCAACAAACCTTTACCTCCAGCTCCCACAACAAACTTTGAATCCGATAACATACTATTGCATAGCAGGAAATTAGCCAAGAGGTCCATATCTACGCCATTTTATTCATCATCTTCATTCCGAAAAATACCACCAAATCCGTTACCGATACGACGAAATAGTCATTTAATCCAAGGCATGGCATCAGGAACATCAGATTTCTCTTCTAATAAAACCCCACCAAAACCGACATCTAGTGGAAGCCCTAAAAGTACAGTGCTAGCTCCGTTGCAAAATATAACAAATTATGAAGGGAAAAGACGCTCATTCTCAAAATCAATCAGTGAAAATGACTCTACACTTCCATTAACCCGTCGCCGGACAAGCCATTGGAACTTTGTCCACTACTCTAGACCAAATCTTCGCTCCACTACTTTAAATCGTTCGTTTACAAGCTAAAATCGATAAACAAGTTTGCTACTAAGCATCAGGAAACTATCTTACCTAAATTATCGATATAAAATAAGCACATCAATAAGTCTGCATCAAGAAGTCTTACTTTTATTGCCAAATATATCCTCTACTAAACGATTCTTAGGGGGCTCTAAAGAATCTAGAACTAAAATGAATAATTATTCCACTATGTTGCGTGAAGATGGAATTCTATAGAAAGATGCTCATCCCATGGAATCAGTAGCAAAAATATCAGTGAATTGGTGAGCTACAGGGTAAGAGGAAAGAATCGTAGGGTTAGTGACGCCATCTAGAATATGAAATGGTATAGCGTCATACTTGACTTGTATCTACCAATTACGGCAATACAACTGACGGAAATTTTGTCTCGAGGTTATAAAAATCGGTGGAGAAACCCGAGTGCAAAGCTGATTCTCTAACCCACAGGAGCTTAGACACTCTTTGAAAATATTCTGCATCTTATCTCGATGCATATATCCCACTTTAACTTTAATCTCAAGTGGTGAGTAACATACTCACCGGATTAATTTTCGATTCTCTTCATCGAAATGTAAGATAAAGTTCATTAAACAATGGCAGTAATTAGCAACGAGTTTGATGGGTGGAAAATTAACTTTACCATGTACACCACAAGACTTGTGGGCCAAATTATTTTGCACCAACCACTCATAATTAATTAGAAACTAGTAAGCTAAGTCTACCCTAAACAGGCTTATCTTTTAAAATGCAATTTCAAGCAATAGAAGAAATTCTGAAATTCAGCTTTCTGCATTTGACTGAGAAAGGCTTCTTACAAGCACTCTGTGTCTTTGTTTCTTATGATTTAGAATTTAGACCCAAGCAGTCTTGATGGAAGCAATAGAAGATTTAACCTGCTTGCATGAAAGTAAATAGACTGAAATGTATCTTTTCTTTGGTTGACTTGGCTCTGCGAAAAATTTTCGTCAGATATCAGTATTGAGAGGGCGCAGCTCATCTTCCCATAGATTTAAAGATGTAACCTGAGCTCTTCTACCTTAATGCAATCAATATTTTCGATTGTTTGCACACTTATTGATCCGCCTCTCCATCTTATCTTTTGTTAGAGTATCATCATCAAATATAAAAAGTTTGTGTAACTTGTTTAGAGCAAATTTTTTCTACGAGTAGATTTGATACAGCCAGTAGATACTTGCAACTATTCAACATTTGTGAAGTACTGGGAACATGTGTAAGCCTCATGACTGGCATTACAAACTTTTCTTGAAATGTTGAGGGGACGCCCAAATTGATAAGTTTGACGTCGCCCCTACGCATCATGAAGTGATTTGATGCAATAGGTGGATCGGCGTTTTTATATCTGAAAGGATATGGTTTCCTGCGTGATGTGGAATGTGGAATGTGGAATGAAATTAGCCAACGTTTGGGAATCGTCTTTTCCCTGGTGCTGTTTTGGATGTGTATAGTGAAGGGGCATTAGCGTTAATCGCTCATGCTTTTGTGTTCTATTCTGAGTAGGCAAACCTACTACTTAGCCTTGATTCAACATGCGGCGCACCTCCCCTGCACGGTCAGGAATTAGTGAGAGATCCACCTCTTAAGCTAGTTCAACGTCATCTGATGGTCAATTAAGGAAGGGCTCGCTCGTGACTGTGCCGCCCTGACTCAATGAGACACAGCAGGGTTAAAACATTGTCATCACGGCCGGGCCATACATTGATGACAGCTCTTCGAAATTTTCCTTAAAATTTCAAATAGTATGCAGGCAAGTCTAGCATTTCTAACATATTTTTGTAATTTAAGCTTTTCGAGCACCATGCCTTGCCCATTCTTCTTAGGATAGAAATATGAGTGGAGCCTTGTGGGTAGGGTTAAATGCTGCGTACATAAAAATGCATCTCGTCGCATTTTATTACCACTCCACAACAGACTTCAGTCCGAGAAAAGTATATTTGAGATATTCAAAAACGATATCGGCCCTTACACCTTGGTAGTCGGAAGGTATGCGAGGGCCAAGCCTCGACCGAATTTCCCATGCAGTGGTTAGCCATAGGGGAGGGGCTACGTATTATGATTGGTATAAGATATGGGAGTGTACACTTGCACTGGAACAGCTAAGATTGTCCATGGAGAGATATTTCCAATGACGTATGGAAGTAAAGTTACTATGATAGTTTTGTTACATTCTTTATGACTGAGTAACACAATAATCTCTCAGCGCGTTCCATTCTTGGAACCACTTCTTAGGGTTGCCAAAGTGACATCAACCTCTCAAAAGGAAATTTGTAATGGAATCGCTATCTGTGCGTGCCTGCATTTATTTCTCTCCGCCAAAGAGTCGCGCGAATACAGTTGGTGCCCGTCCACGTGGGCCGGTATACGAGGCTACCCAAAATTTACCTGGGAAAAAGAGTCTTGTGGCACAGTGGTATTCTCACCAGGCTCCATACTTGACCCGTGTTTGATTCCCGTTAGACTTTGGCCGGCGCACTGCATGGGACCAGAGTCAACCACGCGTCTGATTCAATCATGTAGAGAACCTCGGCCATCTGCCCTTCAAAGAGCCTGGAGTGATAGACTACTGGACTACGAGACAAGTATTTTATCCAGCTAATGTGATTACATCTGTTCTGCGTTGTTCTCAGAGAGAAAACTCAGTTCGTGAGTACACTTGATGTCTCTTGTCACATTGTGGCGTATGACAGGGTTATGATGGCCTTGTCGATTGGAATATGTGAAACGTGAGTTATGCTCAGCTTCTTTTTTTTTTGCATCAGATATAAATTGCGTATGCAGCTATCTAGCTATGACACAATATCAAAGAAAATTACAAAACAAATGATTCACGGTAAAGGAAGAGCACTCATGCCTCGGATTTCATTTGCAAGTACCACTGCGAAGTTATGCCGGCTTTTTCTTCACCCCAAGTCAACCCTCATCCGTAAATACCCACACAGGGGAACATCTCAAAAACCCTGGGTTATCCAGACATGCCTCCATTATCTTTCAACTTTTCTCCGCGCGAAATGTGGTCTGAGATGTCTCCTTCCCAAGTGGAGTAGGTGCCCAGGCTACTCAAACTATACCAGAGAATATCAACAGAAAGCGGACCACAACACTTTCCATCGTCGGCTTGTATTTATAGTATCAACTGCACTCTCGCAAGTGAAGTCTTGGCCCGTACAAAGCTCAATTCGTAAAACTCCTTGCCAAAATTCGGAATTTCACGCCCGTCGAGGCTAAATCCTTCCTTCGCATCATCTTTTCGACTTGTCCTGATTCCTCTCACGTCCATCCCAAAGAACTGTCTCCCAGATTTATGCTCCACGCTTTGCTTCCTCCGTCGGGTATAAATATCGGCGTGGACGTGTATTTGGCGGTCAACTGAGGCCAGAGAAGTCGAAGAGTGGTGTGGTCATCGGTATGAGGGTGTACTTGGTCGTACTTGTAGACTTGATGAGACGAAGAAAGGAGTCAAACTCTTTGGGAGCGAAATAACGACGTGGAGGAGTAATTTGGATTTTTACCCCGTGGGCCAACGTCTTTGATATTGCGAAATTTGACAGAACTTGGCTCTGGGAGAATATTTCACTCCCAGGTTCGTAGAGGATACCGCGTACAGGTGTTCAGTCTTGCCTTCCTATACTTAGTTTCGTCAAGGTGTTAATTATTCATTCATTATTTTGTCCTGTCTGAGTCTATGGCTATGTAGGACATGCAGGTCCTCTCTGCCTACAGGCCAAGGATACCTATGCCAGTAGTATATCCCCTCCTATGCCTCCCATACAGCTCCCCTCAAACAGTACCACCCCTCACAAGTCCTCATTCGATCATACACTTAGAGGAGCCCTTTGCCCTTCATTATCTCCCCTCTCCAGCCAACGAAACGATGGCCATTTGCGGGTGTATGGTAGCCGGGAAAAATCGCAAAACCTACTGAGTGCGGGGCTCTCCTAATACCGACATTAGGACTAAATCCGGAGACACAGTGATCCTTCTGAAGCGTTCCAAAAGGCCGGCCAGCTGGGCACGGCAGACTTGTGTGTACCTCGGGAAATTCACCCTCTGCCTTTATAGCCTCCTTCCAACTCCTTCCTGAAGGTCGAGCTGAAATATCAGAAAAGTCTTGACAGGGCGTGATTGCTGTGTGGTAGCTTAGGCCAACTTCTTCTGTACCGTCCAGGGCGCCGGAGAGTGCCGTTGACTCATCGACAAAAGAAGTCCTGGCTAATTAGCCGAAATCCTGGTCTTGGCGCCCACAAAAAATCCAAGTTTGAAAACCCCTCAAAATTGACAGTCCCATCATAGTCTTCAGAGACCTGTTTCCCCTCGCGCTCCACGTCTCAGCCGCCTGTCTTTCCTCAAGATGTATAACCCCATTAGAGCAGCAGTGCCCCATAAACCAAGACCCCAACTTTCTATATTATGACTTAATTCCTCCTTATGGGTATACGTAGCGTCGTAAATTTGTAGTGAGTGATGGCTGGTGATAGATGAGGCAAGCTCCTGTTTGCAGTTGGGGTGACGCCTTTATCGGTCGGCTAGGCGAGATGATATGTGGTTAGATCGAGGTTGAGGATTAAAAAGATATTGCTGAGTGCTGCATGGTTGAGAAGTCGTCAAATGGAGATATGCATGTGTTTGCTTTCGACTTCGATTCGGATGCGATTCTTCTTGGCTATCCCAGATATGCAGATCATACTGAGCGATTACACCGGCACCACTGGAAGGTGAAGAATTCGTCTTTGCCGGCTTCGTCAAGGTGTGAATTATGGGTGTCTCGTGGCTTTAAGCTGATACTGTGCATAGCAGAGCTTGTGACTAGATGTAACTTGATTTCTTTTGAATCCGCATTCCTCAAGACAAGGATCAATGTGATTATATGTGAGTCCCTTATAGCTCCGGCTGATTGAAAAGTTTGTGAGTGTAAAGCTTGGCAGTAGTAAAAAATATGGACCACCATACAGTTGGATCAGTATTTTTCTGATGGGATCTACGGGAAATGT